AGGGGCCGACGCGCGCGGTTAAAGCCAGCAGCAGAGCTACGGGCCTGCGCGGCCTGGCGGGTCTGCGCCCACCACGGAGCCCGAGAGTGACAAAATATGTTAGCTCGAAGCACTGCCTTGTCAATTTTAGCTCTTTTGTTGGTTTTCTAAAAAAATGGGTGTAAAAATGGGTCCCCTGTTCAGCCACAACACTTTGTATCATGCAAAAACAAGTTCTTAAGGGTGAAAAAAAAAAACATTTATGACTTCATGTGCTCAGATTTTGAAGTATCTGGATGCGTGGTAATGGCAAAAAGAGATCCCATCATACTTCCAAGGATTTTAAGTTGGATAATCAGAAATTGGGAAAAAAAAAGGCCCCTAAGATCTCCAGTCACTTTGGCGGAATTAAGCCAGAAGTGTTGCTATTAATGGGTGTATGTAGTCATATTTCCTAAAGAAATGAACCATAATTTAGCAGCATCATAACTGACTACGTTTCAGATCTTGGCCTTTACCCATTAGCATTCTTAGCCTCAGCTCTCTGGAGTCAGCTGAATCTGTGCCGTGGAAATGATTTGGATTATGATGTAAACTAACAGTAAAGACAATTCCAAATAACATCTAATGTCCAACAGAACTACTGTTTACATATTAAAAAGAGATACAGCCTTTGTACCAGGGATGTTCTGTCATGTTTCTCCACAGGAGAAGACTGTCATGGTAAAGTTCATTATCAATTACTGCTTTACAAGTACAAGATGAGTTAAGCTGTCATAATTTTCTCAAGCAGAGATCCTGTGCTGTCAAAGAATGTCAATTTTTAATCTGACAAAAGGAAGAAAATTATCTGTTATTCTGACCTCTAATTTCTTGACATTTTAATGCTGTAATTGCTGTGGTTAGTGCTGCTACCATGATTTCACCTGTCAAGTAAGAATGAGTCAATATCCTTAAGCTGTTCTTCGAGTTTTAGTTTTCACCTGACTGCTTTGTGTTCAAAAAAAGACAAATTTACAAATGAGAAAATACAATGAAAAATAAAATAATAAATTATATAGGGGTCACAAAATGTTTATTCTTCACCACGCATTTTTTCTCCTCCCTATTATAATATGAAAATAATTTTGAAATGTACAAAATAAGAAGCCACTAGAACTGACAGAAGTGAAGAGCTTCCAAATTTCTGATCAGAAATGGTATTAAGTATAATTGTGTATATTCTATACAGCAAATCAAGACTTCCATTCTGATCTCACTACTGAGATTATATATTTTACATATTTACATATTTTAGGTGATTACATATTTTTGTGGCATCAGAAAATCACAGAATTGTTTGAAATATCAAAATCAGTATGGCTAAATAAAATCAGTATATATTACTATAACTTTCTAAGACAGCTTTTAACTTCCCAAAACCCTTTTACAGGGACAGAGACATCTAATTTTATACACTCTGGTAACATAAAATATGACACTACCGTAGCATCCTAGTTTTACCCTTTGTGAAACTGCACAACGGAAAATGAAGGAATAACTTCTAAGAAGGCCAGAGAAATTCTCCTATACTGAACAAGTCTAAAGGAAAAGACACAGGATATTTTTCCAGATGGATGATAGCTTTTAATGGGCTCCCTGTGTAGCTTGTGCAGGTGAGAAAGAATTAATGTCAGGGACGAGCTATCCCATCATTGAGTGTATTTTGGTTTCAGACACATAGCTACTGAAGTTACCCTCAACAGCACTCTCAGCAGAAAGCTAACGACAAAACATTCCTCCATGTTCAGGTGAGGTGGTCAAGGAATGAGTGGAAGGGAAAAGGCCATGGAATATTGTGAAGGGGCCACTGGAAGGTGTATTTTTAAATGATGTGTTTCAGTAAGGCCTTAGAAACTTGGAGCCTTTTTTTTGTTTGACAGGTTTTACTGGGACTCAGCTCAGTATGAAATTAATTATGGCCATAGTTTGATGAGGCTACCAATTTACTTGAGTTCATCGGTCTGACAGGGGTTGCTGCTGATAAAGTTGCATTGATTTTCTTATAATAATTTTATTGAGAAAATTGAATATATGTTTCAGCCTATTTAGAAAATAACTACCAGTATTTTGGAGTACTCTGTATATCTGGAGTATTTTGATTTTGAGATAAAAGATTTTCTGGATAGTAGCAAGCCTCAATTCATTTTATGTTGCAGTGTTTCCACATTAAAACTCCAAGCATTAACACATACAAAACATACTGAGAAATGTATTCATTATTTTGAAAGCTGCTAAGTGAGCCTATATTGGCATTCTGCATTTTTAAGTGGTCTTCATAGTCTTTTGTTTTTTTTTCCCTGTTATTTTCTAGAATATTTAGTACAAACATGGAAAAAAAAGTTATCCAAACAAAACAGATTAAATATGACAGACTCTAACAGAAACATGACACCCTTCTAGATCTAGATGTCAAAAGCTTCACTGCTGACCAGAAAATGTCTGCTAGTTTCATAAACAGAGCTTAGAGAAATGAAATAAGCTCTACATCTGCCTCAGTATGCACAACCATGTTGTAAGCCATGATTAAAAATGATTATAAAGTATTTTTTTTAAAAAAACCCTTTTTATACCAAACCGCAGATCACCAATATCTGAACTTTCTTGGAGGAAAAAGTATGTTATAAAAACATAAAATTTTATAAGTCTCTCCATAGCAAAAATTAAGAGGATCCATTTTTTACTAGACATTATGTCTTCTCATCACTAAAAAGGAATTTTATTTACTAATCTAAAACTCGTGGAAATGATGATAAAATTGTGCCTTTAGAATTTCATACAGCACAAGTAAAAGCAAAAGAAGAGGTTAATATGCTCTTGACTGACAGGGTATGGACAAGATATACAAGTGAGTGAACAAAAACATCTCCATAAATTTCTTGAAATTTCTGATGACAAGTTATGCATGTAAGTAGAGCCACAAGAGAGCTGAAGAGTCTCATCATGTCATAAGATGTTAAATAAGGTTCACAGATAGACCTCAATCCTACAGGATGCCCTGTGGGAGCAAACCCTTAAAGTCAGGATCTAGGAGTCTGCCCATGCAAATAAGGACCTTAAGTCATGCAAATCCCTTGTGTTCATGGTTCTTGACACCTGTTTCATACTTTAAAAAACATCCTTCCTTTGTGTACGCTGTTTTGTACCTTATTGACTCTTCTCAGAGTCTTTAAATCCAGAAAACCATTAGTTTCACATTAACATTAAGCTTTTCATCATTGCAATCAATACAATTCATCTCGCTCTCAAAAACAAGCACATACTAACTGTTTCCAAAATCTAAGCTTTATAGTGCCGGTTGTGAAGATCCAGCCACAGCAATCTACTGTTCTGATTTTTTTTCGTTCTTCTGCCTTTGATGAGGCATAAAATGTAGAAAGATGCACACAAGGCACTACTGAAAAAACATGACAAAACCAATATCTAGCTGAACACAAAGCTTCCTAGAATCTATTTCTTTCTAAGATCTGTAGATTCACCTCTCCAAGGTTTAAAAACAAACAAACAAAAAAACAATAACCCATTGCCTGGCAATGTATAAATTATTACTGTTTTGCATGCAGCAGATGGTAGCTATCTGGGGGAATGGAAGATTGTGTGTACAGCTTCATCACAGCAGTACTCATCTAGCAGCTGTTGCTTCTTCACACTTTTCGCCTAATTTCAATTGTTTCATCCAGTGAATGGATGATATTACAGAAATAATTATTCAAATTAATAGTCGTACTAAACACAAATGTGGTGAGCGGAATAAGATATCTATCAGGATAGCTAGCAGAATTTTTCTTGACATTTACTCATAAAATGTAAAATGTACTTGTATATATACGCACATATATAAATATTATACACACATATATACACAAACATACATATTTGTATGCACGTAATTCCAACAAGTAGCTAACATTTTCCAGTTTAGTGACACTGTGATTATACTTTACATAATTAACACCAAAGTAATTGAATCATTTCCGTTCTCCATCTATTCCATTTCCATTCCAATTCAGATACGTCTCCTACATTTTCTGACTGGAAAGGTTAAATTTTTTTCCCATGACTATGACACAAGTATTTGTTTAAAATTTTCAGCTCTACTAAGTGAATTCATTAAAAGTAAATTATACAAAGTAGCAGAATATATATTGCAGAATATACATTACACTGTAATTTCCCATATCATAGCTGGCCATTAAATATATTAGTAATTTCAAGCAAACAAAATATTGTGGGACATTTGTTTTATTGCTAACTTATTAATACTTCTGAAGTCATACAGGGCCTAAGCTTTGAATCAAATCACACACTACAATTTTCCCAGCAATGAAGGAAGGAAAAAGCACCAATATTTGTGAGATGAATTTTAATTCAGTTTTTAGAATGAAATGGCAGTAAACACCTACCTCCCTGAGGACAGGATCAGTGATACTGTCCAGGTTCACAGAGCCTTCATATGTTAGGTAGTGGAAAACATTGAGCGCACGCACTGCTTCTGGTCCTCGTTGCTTGTAGCCAAATATAAGGTCAATCCACTGATGAAGTTGACATGACACAAATTCACTTTCCAGGGCCTGCAAGTGAAATTCCAATTAGGCAGTAAATTCCAACTCGCAATTTCATGCTTAAATTATGGCTTATCTTCTCCTCTTGGAGACAATTATATTTCTTGTTTAGGTTTATCCAATGTACTTGAAAACCTTCAAACATTAAAAAGTAAATATAATTATATTGGGTTGAAAACCAAAAACATATTTTTCATCTTTTATTCAGCTTGATATCAAGTGAATTTTCTTCCTCTCAGCTATTGGGTTTCTTCTACTCACAAGAGTTTTAAGCCTTAGTTTTTGAAGTCAACAAGTAAGGGACATAATTCATCAGAAAAAATGATGAAAATGAGAAAAAATAATAATCAAAAAGCAGTCTTCCAACTCATTTTCCAACTATATCTAATTAGTCTTAAATATAAAATGAAAACCTAAGAATTAAAAAGCTCTATTAGCTCTGTGAATTGTGACTTACTGAGTAATTTCTCAAAAAGTATTTTTCACACTCATTTTTGATATTAGGTTGATTTACCAGAAAAAAAGGCAGGCTATCACTAGCTAGAATAAAAATTGATTCAAAAATTTCTATTCCTCTGCTCAGCATATGGAAAGAAATTAATTCTAGACAGAGGAAATCATGATAGCATTACCATTGAATCTGATCTAAGCAATCTGACTTTATCAGACATTATTGGCTGCATTATTAGACATCACTGTCTAAACTGTATTTTTCAAAGGCTGACAGCATTATATAGTTTCACCTTACTCCTCTACCAGACTATTGTCTTAGATACCCATGGTACTGTGCCTGGAAACATAAATAATTTGCCTGTAAAGACTCTAAGAATGTATTTAAGTGGACTATGTTACATTAACAGATTTGAAATCATGCATCAGTTTTAATAATAATTAAAGCAAATGCATAAATTTCAATGAATATAAGTTGATGCAATTGTTATGCAGCTGCAACATTGCCACAAACAATTCAAGAAACTAAAAGTCACATGAAAACAGCTCAGCAGCTCTACATCTGCAGGAACTTATCTCTGCAGGCTCAGGCTTCAATAAATGTCATTCCTAGTGGGCCCCATGGCCTTGGGGTGCTTCTGGGTAGGGCTGCTGCAAAGCACCCTTGTGCAGAACAGCAAGGCCTGCCAAGGTGCTATCCTGCACACTCATTTCCATTTCCCTAAAACTACATTAAGGGAAAAATGGGAATTCAAATGAAGATTCTTGCTCCACTATCATGGGTTTTATGTATGTGCTTGCCTGAACTACACCACAGTCTTCTACTGTGTCCTCTACCTAGTGCCCCTCAGGGGGCAATAACTTCCCATTAGTTTGTTAGGACACAGAAAATTAAGCTACTAGTAATCTTGCCTGATTAACAGACCTGTTACTGCAGTACTTTAGATTCCTTGTGGCTATTGAGCTTTGTGGCTGTAGAACACAGGATCCCTTTGTGGCCACACGCAGAAACAGAGTTTCCGAAGCCCAGTAAAACGACTGCCTGCAGCAAAGTGCTGTCCTGATTTAAATCGATTTCACTCTTAGAATATATATAGAATTTGGTGCTGCCATCAAAACTGTTAGTTATGGGTATAAGAGAACAGAAAATTAGGTGGTGTGGGGCCAGCACACTTTGTGAACTTTACTCCAGTCTTTATTGTTGAGCATGTCAAATATATTGTAACTTTTTCCAGGAGAAGAAAGTAAATATGAGAGGTCTTCTGAAGAGGTATACAAAGCAGTGCTCTAAGTACCTCTAGGCACTACTTTTCACAAACACTGTGTTCAGAAAACTGTTCTTTTCTGAACGCAGCTAAGTGCATTGTTATCTGACTGACTTCTTAAAGTGAAGGTATATATTCAGTGTGTATTTAGTAGAAAATTGGGCTCCTATATCAGTGTTTCTGGAAAATAAAATCAACATTAAGACAACTGATTATGTAAACTTGCATGTCAAGTCTACCATTACTCACTGCAGGCAGGAAGAGTTGGCAGCAACCCTGCAAATTACATTATCTAATACTATTAATTCTCAAAGACTTATGTGGTTTATTTGATTTCTTTTCCATGAAATTCCAGCATATTGCCACTACTGAAAGGAAATCATTTCCAGCTAGGACAGGGTTTCATACCTGTTCCGGGAAAGTTTAAGTTTTGGGGTTTTTTTCATGTTATTTACATTGCAAAGTGTTTCAAGTCTCAAGCCCCTGGCAGGCTTGCACAGGGTGGCCTTCCCAGATCAGTCATTCCCAGTCCATTTCCCCTCTAAGGCTCCTCTTGGAAGAGGAAACTCTCTACAGCCTGTGAGAAAACTCATCCCTGATCTGCCAACCTAGGGAAAGCTCTTCCTGAGCAAAAGGAATGGGGAGGATCATTCTCAATAGTTGACCTATTCCTCAGCTTTCAAGCACTCAAGTTTAGAAGACAACAAAGTGCTATAGAAAGTATGGCAGAGAACCATGTAATGTCACAGGACATTTAAACAGCATGAATACTATCTTATAGTAAACACTATTTAAAGTACTATTTATTCAAAGCACATCTCCCAGTAAATTATGAAATGGTAGATCCTTAATTGTAGTGTGCTGAGTGCGTGTAACATGAAATAGTCAATCACTGCATGATCTGACATAACATTTTCTATAGGGCTTTTACCTTATTCAGCATGCAGGATGATAGCAGGTAAGGATAAAATAAAGCGTGCCAAAGATATCATGAATAAAGCATGTCCTAACTTTTAAATGCTTGTTTTTTTTTTTTTTTAAAAAAAACATGTTCTTTTGTATGTAAATGAATTTAAAATACAGTTTAAAGGCTGTTGTCTTTCCAGCATCTGTCTTGGGCCAACTTATAGCTGGCAGCCTAAATGTTCTCTTTCTTCTCTGTGTTCTGCATATTCATAAATGCCTTTTTGCATTCATACCCATTATTTATGCGTTAATAAAGCAATTCATGGAGAAAAGTGTTATGTGTTGGTCAAAAAGACTCTCTTCTAGAGTATGCAGAATATTGCAGGAAAAAAGATTGAATTTTTGGATAGAGGCAGATGCTATTTAAAGGCAGCACAGTAAAAGTTGTAAAAATAAATGCTTGGGTCAAATCAGCATATTTCACACATTATCTTCCCTAACATCCTCCCTCCCTGTTAGGAAAGTTGAATGTCTACGTTATGTTTCCCTGAGGCAGTTCTAACTTGCATGACCAGCTCTTACTCAGCAGCTTGTCATTCGGGCAAGGTCTTATTGACATTGGCAGTTTTGGAGAACTTCTATTTCACACAGATGAACTGTTTTTTAATAACTTCCTAAAAAAAAGAGCTATTTTTTAGCAGCACCATGTCTTGTCTTCCATCTTCAGTCCTAAACTCCAGCAGGTTGATTGTTCTGTGTAAGTCCTTAAAGTACCGCGTAAGGCCTTCCTTAAAGGTCTGTACACTAAAATGCAATAAAAGATTTGCAGAAATTTCCAGGGGTTGAATTTAATTATTTTTGAACTAAGAATTTCAGAATTCCACATCAAGTGGGAAATCCGAAGAACTATTTTCAGCAAGGTTGGCCCTGAGTTATAGGGAGCACTCGCAGAGGCCACCAAAAGGCTGCCAAGCCCTACACAGCTCTTGGTGGGGAACAGGGTCCTGATTTGCACTTCCCAACGAGGACATGGCTGAGTCAGGACAGAACTCCTGACACTGATACGAGATTTGCTACCTGGCCTGCCGGTACCGCTCACTAGTCCTTCTGTTACACTGCTCAGGCAACTCGATACTTACAGCTTCCTCACCCTAATTTGCTCTAGTGCCCAAATTGCTCCCTCTTTCTTTAAGGACCTCCTTAAAATTTACGAGCTGTTTGCCACCAACCGGACACGGTTTGGTTTCTCAAGGATATGCCAGGCTCAGTCAGGAATAGGGTGAGGGAATTTTCTGTGCAAAAAGATAATTTGTAGGTATAGTAGCCGACAGAAAGAGGAAATAATAGGCTGGTTAAATTAGGCTGGTTATTACCTCGCAGAACAGAGTTTTTGAGAACATTTTGGCCTGGGAAATATGCCCCCCCCAAAAAAAAGTTAAAAGCCTCCAAAATAATTTAACCTGAAATTTAAGAAAACAACAACAACAAACTAACTTATATAATTACATATTATTATTTAAGGCTTTTGATAGATTCTTACTGTTAAATAGCAATGGTGTAGAAGCCTTCAATGAGGCTATTCCCAAAATAGCTTGATGTAGATTTGACATGGGTATATACTATATATATCTCTGCAAAGCTATAATATAAGCTAGCTATTAACTACAACATTAACTACTGTATTAGCTCACTTCTTGCCATTAACTTAAATTTGGCATGCTTAAAGTATTTTTTTAGAAGCACTCCAAGATCCTTTGGTTTTGCAGATCTGCTTTAGTAAAGCACCAGCTTACGTTGGATCATTTGAGCCTACGCTCCAGGTTTTTCTTGTTTCTCTTCTTACATGTGAACACCTGAGTAGCCATGAATTGTGCAGATTCTCTCGGACTCGTATTTCCATGACTCATTTGACATTTCTTGGACTGATTATGAGAGTAAACTCTTTATCTCTTGCCATAAAATAAAACAGGAAACAGTGAAATCTGAAATTCATTTTCCGTGTTTAAACTAAATAATCTTTTAAAAAGGGAAGCAGGGGCACATTCTACAGATTTGGGTTGTTCGAGGATGCTTGCAGGGAAACAGATCCTTTACATGTGCAACTTATGATGCAAGTAGATTCTTCGGCGGTATTGAAAGCTTTTTTTAAGAATTGCTGTGATTTCCAAATAAATTTGAAACCCTTATGAGCTGTGGATTAATTTAATTGCATTAAGAGCAAAGGCAATTGTTCTTGCAATATAGAAAATAAAATCAAACTACCACAGAGAAAGTAAAATAAAATCGTATCTACTGTTACTCTGCTAAAAAAGGGCTATCAAATGCTGCTGAATGGTGAGGAAAAGGAATAAATCTTCTAGAACCTTACAGCATGGAGATTTAATAATA